AGAGAGAGAGAGAGAGAGAGAGAGAGAGTTGTAATCGATAGTTATCTCAACACTAGAACTCTCATAGATTTTCTATCTCTTGTGTTGAACTAAATTATTTAAAACACGTTTTTTCTAATGATATAAATATTGTTTTTGTAATTTAATTACATGTGAATTGAATTTATATAAAATAGCGCATCAAAAGTCTTGTTTAAACAGAAAATATCAATTATTTATTACAACATTTGAGATTCAATACTAGTCTCTGAATTGAGAAAAGTAAAGAGATATACAGTAATTGTAATCGTATTTTGTGTTATTCCTATTGTAATACATAATATTTAATTAAAATTTCATTACATTTCCAATAAATTATTAATACATTTAGGCTTTTAGTTTGGTTTAAACATTGAGAGAAAACTTATTACCATTTCTTTCAATTTCATTAAAATACCTAATGATATACAATAAAACAAGTATTTGTAGTGTAAAACACTTGTTTCACTAATTAGACTCTCAGTCTTTCAAATTAAAAGACATATTTTCACTCAATATATAATTATCTAATGTTTTACATATTTTCTGTAGTATAAAATAATATGGAAATCATTAATAGAAATGAGAAATAATACTGTTTTATATTATTTGGAATAATTTATTCGTCAAATAAATATCATTATAATTATATTCATTGAATAAACACGAAAAATTATGATGATGAATATTTGCACAATAGCTGCACATTACATATGCGGGTTATTACAGGATTAATGCTTACCTTAATTTAAAACACACTAATACATAATTCCCATCTATTCTTATGAGATTCTTATCCGTATTAATATATTATTTTATTTTTTCGTTCACTCTATTTATTTTACGTATGAAAAATTGATTTCAAGAAAAAAATATTTATTATATGTTCTCAGAAATACAGTATTGAATACAAGAAATATAAAAAACAGCAATCAATATATCATCAAATAAATAATAATATCCTTATAATACTGTATATATTCTGGGGATGTGTTTGTAATGTTGTGGACATAAATACACGGTATATATACCGTATTTCCTACGACAACGACCAACTATTTAGTTATAATGACTTTCTATATGTGTTTTCATATATAAAATACAAGTATAACNTATAATGACTTTCTATATGTGTTTTCATATATAAAATACAAGTATAACTATCAGTAGATTTCCGTCGATTTTCAACTGAAAACATAGTTTTTATATTTTATTTCTTATTCGCATTCATGTCGTCAATCAATATGAAGGAGTGTTCGCCAGAATTGATTTATATTTCACGTTTATATATAAAACACAGTATTTATAATATATTTATATACAGAATATACAGAATACATATCAATATATAATATTTATTTCCAAGAGTCCAGTAAAATATTACACATAGAATATTCTCCGCATGTATTTCTTGATGACTGAGAAATACATTTTCAATAAATAAGTAGTTTTATTAAGCGTTTCAATACATTATACTTGTATTACAGAATATAAGTATATAATACAGTGTATGAAACACTCGCCTACTATTGGAGAGCATATATGAAATAAAGTAAAAGAGTATTTTTTGGTGTCATTTTATTTTAGATCTCGTTTCTGTGGTTTCCATTGAATTGAAAAATAAAAAATTTTCAATTATTTTTGTATATTCTTTGCCTATTATTCCGTAAAAATATGCAATACTTTTAATAGCAGTTAAATGGGAGACTATAGGCAGGGATGGGCACTGAATGACAGGGGCTGGGGTTTGCTTTTACACAAATTGGTTGCAGCAATGAATGTAGCATTTTGGAAATTAAATTAAACCAGATTAAAATAAACTAATAAAGTTTAAACATTTTAATTTTAATAAAAACTATGGGATAGTAACACCGGTAGTCAAGTATCACCAATAACTATTTAACACAATGCATTCCAGTAGCCGGCAGTGCATCCATACATCCCACACCATCCCTACCCCTACCCCCACACATCCCAACCCCTGCTTAGCCAACCATTATATGCACAGAATATCAATTATTGTCATTGAAAAATAAGAGTTGCTCTACATTTATACACCTGTGCTCATCACTACATACCAGTGCCCAAACAATGCCCATAGTTAACACATACACCATTTAATATACTTTATGTATAAAATATATTTAAATACGTTTAAACAATTGTTCATTCATTTCAATAATTCGTAAACAACTTTAATGAGATGCAAGAGTCAGTCAAAACATTATTAAATGTACATGTATTAATCATTAATTGCCCACCCCTTTAACATTACCCGTTACTATTAACATTACATTTCTTACTGTGTGCCCCCATCTGGAAAGTGTACATGTACAATTAATGATCTGTGTGTCTGAATGGTGGTTTGTGTTTTTACAGCGATATTGTTGTTGATAATAAAACTTGAAATACAAATTGATTTCACTTTCATTTAATACCATTGCATACATATATATTCCGGTGCTTTCTGGGCCGTCGCCAGTGTTTGTCGCAAACCGTACGGCAACTTAACATAACTGTTGTGTGTTTTCTAATATAACATATAAAAAATCATTACAAATACTTTTGTCAATACTTTTTACTTGTGGTTAAGGAGATACGGAATATTGTGTGTTGTTTTATAAGGTGTTTAGTGTTTTGTTGTGTTTTGTGTGGTAAATATCAATAAAATTTTGCATTTCTAGTATAGGATACACAGTTGACAACCAGTTGTGTGATAGGAAAAACTACTTTTTGTCCTAAAATTTATGTGCGTTTATGTATGAATATTGGGCACTGAATTGTGTACAGAATCCTATGGTTGTGAATGCTTTTCACAGGAATATAATGTGTATTAATGTGTTTGGAAACTAGTTTTTGAAGTTTTAAAGTTATAGAAAAAAGTTGTTTTTATTGAATTCACAATTGAATCGTGTTTTCTGACGGATATATTATTATCTAAATATGAAATCTCATTCATTGGCCACAAAATTGTCATTTTTGCTATTTTTATATATTTTTACCATTTTTGGTGAGTATTTCAGTGTTTAGAAATAATTTGACTTTAATTCTGCCATAAACTTTAATTTTGATATAAATTCAGACATAGATTCTGTTAATTAAAAATGTTATTTATTTCATTGAAGTCATGATTGCGTGATTAAGATAATGAATGTATTGTATATAAATACTTGTTTTACCATAAGTTAATATCATCTAAATTTATACTATATAGCATTTAGCATTTTGAAAGAATGTTATGATAATTTATAAATTACTTACATTTAATATATAGCAATTTATATATTTTTATGTAAACTAGCCAGAATATAAACATGGTAGATATTTAGATATCAACATAGTTATAAAAATCTTAAAGTTCTAATTTAGATAAAATCAAGATGTAATTAAATTTTCAGTAATCAAAAGCAATCACGTAGCATTAATATTAATAAAAGTATTAATAACTAAAACTTAAATCTATGTTAACTTAAATCTTTAATATCACCCAAAAATCAAATCACAAAACCAATGCATTTCTTAATTAGATATTACATTGGATTTTGAATTATTTATTTGAATGTATGCCAAAAAAGGACAATTAAATACAATTATTATCGTGTTTTAGTGTAACTTAAATAATATATATTGCAATCAGTGATTGCCAATCACTTTCAATTGCAACAAATCTACACAATACAGTAGTTGACAAATGTAAGCAAATAAACTTAACCATGTTAATCACAAACTCATTCAACGAGGGACTACTCCTATAGTGTAAATATATGCATAAATTCACTGCAATATTAACGAGTGTTGGGAATAAAAGTATTGCCAGAAATGAAAGTCAAATCACAATTAATCGCAATTACTATTGTTTTTTTGTAATTAACTTCAAATTTCATTTCTGGGTCAAACACAGGCATCTCATTAGCCTCCGGCCAATCATATTCCAGCCAATCATACAATCAATACAACTGCGATCACAATCGGCTCCAGAGATGTCAACAAGACGTGGTCACAAACATCCAGGACCTAAGCAATAGTCATTCGGGTAGTAGTGGTTATAGCGGTATATCCAGCGGTTACCAGAGCTCTGGTAGCGATTCAAATGCCAGATGCAGGTGATTATGTCATGACATATCTGTTTCCCCTAATATCGCACTCAACATTTGAATAATTATTTATATAATAGTCTAGTTTGGTATTACTGTACAGAATATACGATTGTATTAATTATTGTAGAGATAATTATCATTAGATAATGACTTCGTTGACAAAACGGCACAAAACCTTCTCAATACAAGTATAACAATAGCTTAAACAATACAACAATACACTAATAACGATAATATCTATTGATTATTATTAATGCAATCACTTAAACATTTATAACATTCATATTCTTATAAAGTAAAAGTCAGCAAAAATATTAATACTTATTTTATATAATAATCGATAGTTAAGAAAATGATTTCAATTAAACATATAGTAAATTGTATGTAATTTATAGCGCAATTCGACAGAACCTGGACTGTCTATTGCTGTATACGCCGGGCTGTATCAACAGAACATCGTATACATCGGGCAGTTATGGGACAGTCGGCAGCTCTTACGACACGACCCGTAGTAATTTCGCCGATTTTGTCCGTCGGGCTAAAGTCACTCTCGAGCGGTACTGCGAACAGGGAGGCGGAAGTAAGTGATATTTATCATCATAAAAACACACACATATTAATTATCATGTTTTGCAATCGCCCGGTCATAGGCTGGAAGAGTGCCTCCTGTTATCTACGACAAGACCTTCGAGACTGCGAGAGTCGGTACGGGTTTCAGTCAAACCCGCCGTCGATGTCGTCCACGGCGTGC